GTGATTCACTTTCAGTTGTATGCGGTGATTTCAATTCATGTGACTGTAGCTTCCTTACGTCACTAGGTCACCAAAACGTAGTAGATTTTCCTACTCGTTTGGATGCTCATTTAGACTTTGTTTTCATTAATGATGTGGGTATATATGTGACTCGTAAACGTGCTCCATTGTCTAGCTCAGATCACTGTTTAATTCGTGTTCTACCTAAAGTATATGGAAAGCATGGGAAGAGTACACTCTTACATCAAACCAAGAAAGTCAAATATAGGAATTACTCAGAAGAAAATATCCGAAATCTAAAAAACATGTTTCATACGACTAACTGGGAATTATTTACAGATGACTCACTCGAAAACACTACTGATGTTATCACTTGTTACCTTAAATTCTGTTTTGATATTTGTTGTCCCACCGAAACCATTTTTGTAAGTTTTGATCGGCTTACATCTTCACAACTAAAACGACTACGGAGGATTAAAGAAAGAATGTACAAAGAGAAGAACTCAAATGAAGTTCGTAAGCTAAGTGGTCTGATAAACCTAGAGATTAGACGTCTCAACTGCATGTTTACTCAAAAACTCTTACCTTGCAAAAACTCTACAAGTATGTGGAAATTCTTTAAAGAACTTACAGGTGACAGAAAGTTTAGAAGCGATAACCAGCTGAATGTTTGTGACTTAAATAAGTCTTTTGTACGTCAGTCATCTGATGTGATGCTCCCTCTATCCACGGGTTTAAAAAATAGCTGTGTTCATACGTTCACTGAAACTGATGTACGAGGATGTCTCCAGTCGCTTAATTCATCTCGATGTTTGGGTCCTGATGGTATCCCAAACCTCCTTTTTAAAAAATGTGCTGACGTTCTGTGTCATCCGTTCACAACTATTTTTAACAGATCTTTCTCATCTAATCTCATACCAAAAATGTGGAGAAAGATGAAGATAATTCCTGTACCCAGGAAAGCATCTGGTGATAAGAATGTAAAATTTAGACCTATTGCAATAACTTCACCTTTCCTCAAAACCATGGAAAAATTATTAATACTTCCACTTCAGCCTGTGATAAAAGAGCATACTGACTCATACCAGTTTGCATACAGGCGCAAAAGAAGCACTTTAGATGCTGTTGCAGTTCTGCATCACAACATAGTGTTCAACTTAGAAAAGGGTAAGAACTATGTTCGATGTGCTTTTCTAGACTATACTTCAGCTTTTGACTCTATACCAAGACAACGTTTACTTAACAAGTTAACACTGACAGCTGGATAACCAACTGGCTATGTTCCTACCTCTCTGGAAGGGAACAGTACACTGTGTTTGGAGGAAAGAGTTCAGATTCTCTACTGTCTCATGAAGGTGTACCACAAGGAGCTGTTCTTTCACCTCTTCTATTCTCTTTTTTTCTGCATGACCTGCCATCTTCCACAGAAAACACTTTTGTGAAGTACGCGGATGATCTCACTGTATGTATGCCTATATCTTCCTCTTTACATCCCATAGAAATGAATGAGTTTTTGTCTCGTATTGATTGTTGGTCTGTTGGTAATGGTCTCATACTTAATCCATCTAAATGTCAAGCTGTTAACTTTAGTATGAGACATGAACGGAATATAAACACTATTTTGAGATCCCATAGTGCTTGTACCATCGGAGACTCTTTGATAAACGCGGTGTCGAAGGTCAATTATCTTGGTGTCACCTTTTCCTCTGATCTGTCTTGGTCTTCCCACGTTTTATCGTTATCAAAGAAGGTTTTCCGTCTGACCTACTACGTAAAGAGATTGCATGCTCTTGGGGTTACTCGTCATTTACTCTTACAATTTGTCAATTCTTGCATACTACCTATTATTCTTTACTGTTCTCCATTATTCTTTCCCGGGCTTTTGAGAAAAGACTTTGCTGTATTGCGAAGAGTGCTAAAGGCAGTTAGTAAGACGTGTGGTGAATCTTTCGAGGTCATAATTAATATGGTTGTGGACAGACATTTAAAATCATGCAAACTCCTGGCAGGTGTTATTTTATCAGATACTAGCCATCCCCTTCACTCTTATCTTTCTCCTTGTATATCTTCTGGTAGAACTAGACGTAATTACATTAAAATCCTTGCACGCAAGGAAAAGTATAAAAGTTCTATAATACCTTACCTAGCAAATATACTCTGTGACGAACAGGTTGTTAGAATTAACTTAGTCAATAACTTACATTCTTAACATGTCTTTAATTTTAAAAGTTTGTAGTTTCTTTTGGGTTTTTTTTTAAATTTTTATTTTATATATTTCTTTATGTATTCGCTACTGCCTTTTTTGTTCGTTGTTCAGTAAGTAACTTGTTGAAATACCCCGTGCTGAGAATTCTATATTGTACCAAAATATAATATTGAATAAAGCCAATAATAATAATAATAATAATAATAATAATAATAATAATCTCTTCCTAGCAAAGCTGGAAAATGGACCTCTCAATGAGAGTATTAAGAAACTTGATTTATATTGCCGATACATTGACGACACCTTCATCATCGTAGATCAAAACACTAGTAAAGAGGAACTCCTAGACCAATTCAACAGTGTTCACCCAGCGATCACTTTCACTGGTGAAAGCAAGCATGATAAGTAGCTGAACTTCCTTGACGTCACACTAAGCAGACGAAGTGACGGCACATTAAGTAGAAGCGTGTATGGAAGAAACCCCTCTTCATGCCAATATACTCACTTCTGTAGTTTCACACCCATCCGTTACGAGAGAAATTTGGTCAGATGTCTCACTAGCGGAGCAAAAATGTTCTGTACAGTAGACACTCTAAATCAGGAGCTTGAATTCATCAACAACTCACTGACCGAGATCGGCTACCCCAGCGCGTTCATTAGGAAGCACATGCATGATATAATAAAGGAGTCGGAGATTTCGACTGTTCGTAAGAAACCTTTATACATGAAAGTGCAATTCAACGGGGATGTGGCTAGTGACACTCTGAAACATAGGTTAACCAAAGTAATCACCAGGACATTCTACGCAGCCAATCTTGCGTTGACCTTCTCTTGTCGACCAGCGATGTCTACTCAAACGAAGGATAAGTTACCTGAGTTGGCCTCTTCCATGTGCATTTACAAACTCAGCTGCTCCTGTGGAGATAGCTATATAGGGCGTACTACCAGGCAACTTAACCAACGAATGAGTGAACATCTACCAACTTGGTACATAAAGGGCCAGAGAAAATCTATTCGCAGTTCTATATTGGCACATCTTATTGATAGCGGTCATGCTTTAGATAAATCGAAATCATTTCGAGTTATCTATCGTATACCTCCATCATTTCCCGACGGAGTCCGTTCCCGTCTCCTATAAATAGCTGAAGCCATTGGAATTCGCACATACAACCCCAATTTATGTTTTGTGTTGACTATTCCTAGTCTATTTATCCACGTTTGTTTGACCTTCTATTTCCAACGATTAACTATTGATAAGAGTTTTGTTATTGTAGTTTATTATTCTTAGTACTCTCAGTTCACCTGTCTTCCTACTACTATCATCTTGTACTTTTACCCATTTTATGTGTAGAGACTTATTCTATTTCATTGTGATGATTGACCCATATTGCCTTGATTGGTTTACGTTTTCGTATACATATTCATGTATATTAGAGGAAAGCCTGATGACGATCTAATTTCATTATTTGTAAACAATACACTAAATACACAATTTGCCCATCTTCCTTAAGTTGTCACTCAGAAAACTCATCGTTATTTCATTTTTGTTTTCGTATTTCTGTTCCTTACGATCTTATCTTTTATTCTACTGATTATCCTATTTTGTCTGCATGAGGTCTACGTTTAATTCGTAAAACCTACCACACAACGTAAGAAGAACAAAGGATTTCCGTTGAGGGATTGGAATGTTCATATTAATGAGACTCATATGTTGGATAAATATTTGCTCAATGTTGTTAGGCAGTAAACGATGTATACCCTAATAGTCGTTGTTGTACATAATTGAAAAGGTGGAGAAAAATGCCATAATTACTTGCATACGACGTATTAGGTAATTGTATGTTCAACCGTGGAATAGATTGATTTCTTGTGTTCAATCTAGTCTATCAGTCACATTTGGGTTATGCTGAACGTGTAATGTGACGGTGACATGTGATTTGTTCAGTTAAGTTACACAGTGTGTGGAATTATGATCTAATTTTTTATCGGTACCATTACAATAATAGACCGCATCCTAAAATTGTGGATATGTCATGATGTGACTGCCTAATCTATATGATCTTACATGGAAGTCACATCATTGTCTACTCTGGCTGGCCGTATAGTAACAATGCACGATCTTACGTTTGGCGCTTGTAAAGAACACATTTAGGCTAAATATAGAATAATATAATCACTATGATTAAAGACAAGTTATACAGAATAACCACTTCTGCAAGGTTGAGTCATACCGTGTGATTGCAGTCCTAAACATCAACGGGAAGAATCAACCAAACAATACAAATGAATATTTGCAATATCATTTCTCATAATTACGTGTGAGTGAGAATAATTATTAAATAAATAGTGTATAATGAAGTGATCATCAACTGGTAGAAACACCGTAGTGTTCTTCTTTTTCAAATCTGTCATCTTAGCAATGCTACGGTCGGACTGTTACTACTTTATTCAATCCACACTGTTCTTCAGTCTTACTTGAGTATACGCTCAACTAGTATGGTATTTTGACTGATCAATTTATAACAATGACCATTGTAAATTTCAAATAATATTTTCCCGAGGTGAAACTACATCAAACTGAACATTCACAACGGATTCATTATTGATTGCAATGATCACATAATCACATATACAGAATACTGCTCATTTCTAAAATGAATACTGTAAAACTCTTATAATATAATTCAGCTTTTATTAAATGAAAAATATATTCACGTCAATATTTCAGTTATTTAATCAACAAAATTACTTCAGTCGATACGTTGACAAACATAAAATTGTATAAAACTTGTTCAAATAATTGAAAGGCGTAACAAAATGTAAAGAAGTTTTCGGATGAAATACAGAATGAAACAACTCGATCAAAATAATAAAAACAAACTATAAGACGATTCTGTAAATCATGGATTACTCTTCTTTCTCTTATACATCCATATGGCACAACCGATGCATATGACACAGAAAGCGACGACGACGACTACTGGTATCACGATATACAAGTAACGAGGTGTGTTATTATGTTTATTGTGTACAGTTATTTCTGAAGTGGTGTTCTGAAAGAGAAACAAAACAGTAGCATTAATACTAAATATTAAATATTCACCGAACAAGCTTCAGTTTTTTGCAGTATTTTCCCGAAATTTTCCTTCAGTGTGAATTTCAGTGATTCCTTTGTTCTGCGCTTTAACAACTAGAGTCTACAAACTTTAACTATTTATGCAAACATAATATACAATTTCCAACGGAATACGCTTCATCACTCAAACCAATTTCATTGGTGATTCATGGCAATTCACATTGACATACGCTTTCATATTAGATTTCTGAAGTCACTACAAGCTCAGTGAGCTAAAAAATTAATATGACTCCATGCATTTGTGTTAAACAACGTTTCTGTTCATCGTTTGTTGTTACCATGAAATCAAAACGTATTCGTAGTAATGAAATTTTCTTCCGAGTAATCGGATGTACAATGTGGAATATAGCAATGTTGTAAACAATCTATGAATCTTAACAATTACTTACTTTAACATCATTATCATCGCTGTTAATGCACATATTAGCCTTTTCAGACCAGATACATTGCACACTTGATGTTGTCGCATTTTGGCATTTTTCAATGGAATCGTGTATTGAACAACTTACTGTGAAAAAAATTAGGGAGACGTCATTTCAAGTTATCAAACAAAAGATACGTGAATAACAAAACGTGTAACTGACATCAGTGTTATCATCAATCTACATCTTGTATACCGTTTCTGCATATGTTAAGTGCACAATCAATTTGTGAGCTCACGGGCACTGACTATTTCGAAATCAGTGCATGAAGGTCAGCAGTTCTCAGGCCGAAAACTGATTTTCAATGTTGTTGATTCGATGGAAAGACAAAGAAAGAGGGACATTGTTTGTCAAATCATCATTGTGGCTTCCACGAAAATCTTTTCACTAACCCATTATGTGATAGATGGTTTCAAAATATGCGGCCACGTTTTAGCCTGTTTAACGTCAGTTAGCACATCAGACTCAGTGAATTAGTGAAAATAATATTTTGTTCAACAAATACTGAAGGCGATCCGAACACTAATGTATCGAGCGATTCTCCCAGTACTCGAAATGTTATTTCAATAGTCTAACACATGGTGAACTGAAAAGTGTCTGTAGACACTCACTTTACATATTCATGAGTGAGGAAACACTCTTATATTGTGTAAATCGTCAGTAATTTTGTTACTGTACATATATATCGACTATGATAAATTGCAATTTGAACGCATGACTTGACTACACCTTCGATTTATCGAACAAGTATGACAAAGCAGATATTTTAGAAATGAAACGAATACCTTCAAGATAATCACGATATCATGTAGTGTTTCAGTGATTTCAATACCCCAGATAAATTGGATATCATATATACTGAATGCAAAACTAACGAACGCCCCTCGATAATACACAATCTGCCAACAGACGATAAACGTTTTCGAGGATTAAATAATCTCATCCATCGTTTTGTAGAGTGATTTCCATATAAATTTGGTGAAAGTAAAGACGTCTGTGGTAATTCAAGTTGAGTGCTTAATCATGTGGAATATACAACAGCACATCGACGTGTAATTATTAATAGCAAGGGAAGCGTCAACAGAGAAACAATACTGGATATCGTGAAATGGCTAAATAAAATTACACTTGGAATTTATAATATGATGAAACAGAAGTGATATATTCAAGTGAGGAAATATTCAATGCTGATTAAATAAGGTTTAACATACTCTCGATAGGTTCAGACTTCACTGACGTGTCACTTGTCATCCATTCTCCAGGAGTTGTTATTTCAGGTTCTCTCACATCTGTAAATTTGATGAAAGCAAAGACTTCTGTAGTAGTTCAAATTGAGTGCTTAATCATTTGGAATATACAACAGCACATCGACGTGTAATTATTAACAGCAAGGGAAGCGTCAACAGAGAAACAATACTGGATATCGTGAAATGGCTAAATAAAATTACACTTGGAATTTATGATATGATGAAACAGAAGTGATATATTCAAGTGCGGAAATATTCAATGCTGATTAAATAAGGTTTAACATACTCTCGATAGGTTCAGACTCCACTGACGTGTCACTTGTCATCAATTCTGCAGTAGTTGTTATTTCAGGTTCTCTCACATCTGTAAATTTGGTGAAAGCAAAGACTTCTGTAGTAGTTCAAGTTAAGTGCTCAATCATTTCGAATATCCAACAGCGAATCGACGTGTAATTATTAATAGCAAGGGAAGCGTCAACAGAGAAACAATACTGGATACCGTGAAACGGCTAAATAAAATTACACTTGGAATTTATAATATGATGAAACAGAAGTGATATATTCAAGTGAGGAAATATTCAATGCTGATTAAATAAGGTTTAACATACTCTCGATAGGTTCAGACTTCACTGACGTGTCACTTGTCATCAATTCTGCAGGAGTTGTTATTTCAGGTTCTCTCACATCTGTAAATTTGATGAAAGCAAAGACTTCTGTAGTAGTTCAAATTGAGTGCTTAATCATTTGGAATATACAACAGCACATCGACGTGTAATTATTAATAGCAAGGGAAGCGTCAACAGAGAAACAATACTGGATATCGTGAAATGGCTAAATAAAATTACACTTGGAATTTATGATATGATGAAACAGAAGTGATATATTCAAGTGCGGAAATATTCAATGCTGATTAAATAAGGTTTAACATACTCTCGTAATGTTCGAACTCCACTAACGTGTCACTTGTTATCCATCGTCGAGGAGTTACTATTTCAACTTTTCTCACATCTGAAATACATTTTTAAAAAACACTTAAAATTTTGATTTCTCGTTAATTAAATAACGATTCGTTTCATCATTTCATGTACCGTAAAATTAAGACTTAAAAATTTCTGATTACATTTAGAGTGATTTTCATACAAAATCCTCATAAAACATGCTCTACATCATTACTGATATGGAAAGCGGCCGGTGTTCAACTAGTAAATGAAAAATGATAATATTGAATTTCTGATTCATTTTAAAACATTATCAGTGCAACATCTTCAAGAAACATGTTCAACTCGGTACAATTCTTTCGACATTTCAAATTACACATAGTCAACATTGAGATTTAATGTTAAAGACTAAGTAACATATTTCAACCAATCAATGTATACCGTTTGACCGAATATCTAGTGCATTGTCTCACATTTAATGACAAAACATTGTATCCCACCGAATCGCTTTCACTAAACGCTTATCTTGAAACTCAGCTTGATCTTAAGACAACACAGGATCACTTCAGTATGGCATGAAGATTGAGCATTGTATAAAACAACTATCAGTTACAAGCATCACTCTTTTGTTTCTGTTTGAGTAGTGATATGACTGAGGACTACAACTGGGACTGTTTGTTCTGTGAGTGAATGAGCGAGTGAGTGAGTAAGTGAATAAATGAGTGGATATATAGTCTGTCAGATATTGTCGTTCATATATCCCTGTCTGGATCAGTCCGTCGTTAAATGTATGTGTAAGCATTCTCCAATAGCTATCCACAATTTTACTGCAATGATATACACACATCATGGTTCTATCACTCGGAATATTGGGTTAAAAAAACGTCAGAAAATGTGGATCACGAAATTCATTGTCTGTGTAATTTATCACAAAAGACTGAAACAGAACCATTACAAGTTCATCACAACAACTCAAATCTAATTTGTTACAGTGATAAGGATGACCGTTGTTGAATTAAAAACACATGTACTTTGATTTCAATACAGTGTTCCATTGTTCCAAAGACATTAGACATTTTCATTATTGGGTCTCACTAAGATTCCTTATCGAGTGTAACTACAAAAATTCCATTCAAGAATTGTAGACATATAATTGACGTTAAATATCCAGTATACAGTAATTTTTGGACAGTGATTTTACGAAAAGTATTTCGACTTTATCCCTCACGATTATCCTCAACACTTTAACTGCACTTTGATCGATTTGTCTTACATTCAAATAAACTAATCATTGTAGACTGTAATACAATTATATATGATCACTGTGAGCAAAAACAGCAGGTTACTATATCGACATGCAGATAACCGTGTACAAATGGAATGTAATATTACGTTAACAGAAAACTGTCGACATGGTTACTCTACATCAAAATACCAGCAATAATTGTTACCTTCACACTGAATTACACCTTCAATTATAGAGGTCACTGGACCTTCAGTTTGTCCCGTGGGGATCTGAAAAGAAGTACTGGAAGTATCAAACACTGGCATTCAAAAATATACACACTGTGAAACGATCAACAGTTTAAACACTAAATCCCTCAGAATATTCTGCAACGTACTTATCGAACAGCTTATCTCCAGAAGACTAAATAAATCTTGTCATAATATGACTGTTTCCGTGCTGTACTCTACAGTACACTGTTTGTCCTTATCTTTTGATGACTCTTCACTTCTAATTATTCTCTGTTTTTAGCAAGTGGTACATCAAAGTGTGTGTCATTAAATGATTAATAATAGTGTCACATAGTCCGTTTGCACATTACAAAAGTTGATCTCTTTCTGTCGTATTCAATGTATCTTGATACATTTGACATTATTGATACGCAAGAAAGAGTGGATCAAGCTATAGTACTTCAAACAAAATTTTATTTCCATTCAATTGTACAACTTACGTTCTCATAATAGAGGGATATCTTCCCATTGGAATGTATCACACTAGTTATCTTGGCTATCGTACCTGCAAACAAAAGACTATTGATATTTAGAATTCTTAGGGAATGATGATGAGCTTGTTACTGTCAGGTGTGACAGTGTATATGCCTACTTACAAAAAATATCCAATTTAAGCAAACATATACCGTGTTATCTCAAATGTTTTCCTTCGTTGAATTCGTTATGAATAATATCAAGTGGACCTCATGGAAAACATACGAACACAATTTATTCAAAATGAATGTCAGCTGTTTAGTCTTCGGAACCCGAGAAGTATACAATCATGCACAATATTTTCTATCATTACTCCCAAATTAATCGACACTAAGAACACATGACTTGTGTTGTGGAGTGTTTGTTCACAAATGGAACTTGAGAATTTAATTACTCATTAACCACACTGACAAATCGATCAGTCGACTGACTCCGACCATGGCGTTTACAAAGAACACAGATTTATTTGTTGAGGATATGAAGTGAATAGTTTCAGACATATTGTCCTAAGGATTTACTGATTTTATCGCGCAATATTTAGGAATGACTGTGTCGACGAATGTGGTCCGTGCAGAAAATGACTTTGGGACGAACATATAACACAATTTATTTGTTACAATAAACAGACTTCACATCAAGTTCCATTGAAGCCAGTCAACTATGATGAATCTGTGCACTAGTGTTTCCACATGTGAGATGGCATTGTAACTTCATTCATCCATTTATTACTCGTCAAGTCTAGTCTCTTTCAGTCTATGTTAACTGTTCTTCGAGTCCAAATCATCGTGATTAATTGATCAATGGATTCCACGTACAAGTTCACCCTCATTTCGCAGAAGCGTTATGTATTCCTACTTCTTTCAGTCACTGGGAAAAATTGAATTACACAAACTGAACAGGTAGATGTGAGCAAACACAATGAGTAGTTTTAAGTGTTAAGATTTCATATGATATCAAATGATCATTCAATGTTCACTTATATGTACCGTCACGAAGCATCCGAAAATACCATTTGACAGCAATGAAATCATCTGAAAAACATGAAAATCGAAAAGATATTTGTATGTCTGCATAATGAATATCTACCTCTTTTAATAAATATACATTTTAACAAAAAATGTATTGGCAGACGAGTTATCACCTTCCTTCCTTCTTTCCTTCCGAGATTTATGTGAACTGGTACATTTAAATGAACAATCATCGTTCGGTGATTGATTGTGTAAGGAAGGGCGTGGGTTTCAATGTCATTATTTTATAAACAGGATAATCTAAAAAGTGGTAAACATCTAATAGTCCACAGGTAGCGACTAAGAGATATTTAACTTCGATGAATCAACTAAGTGTCAGAAAGGAGTTGGAAGACGTCAAGTATAATTTGACAGTTCATAAAGTTAATGACTCAAACTGACCTGTTGAACGACATTGCTTAGTGTTGCACATGCAATCAATTTGATTGATTTAATCTAGAAAGAGGTATCGCGTCGGTGAGACATCTTTCGCATTGTTTCTTATATAGACTGGATAACAGTTCATTTTCACTCAGCAACCACATCGCTTGGTTTATAATTTCTACTGAATCGATTTGTGTTCATTTTGTAGTGAATCCCTGTGTTTATTTGATATTTTAACTTGACAGTAATGAATACGTGCTGTGAACACATGTTCTGGTACCAAATCACAGAAACCATATAATCACTGTGAACTGGTCAGCTTTCGTGTTATAATCAAGCTAAATACTGAACGATTTATGCACAACAAGTGTATGAGAACGAACAAAAGAAAACATTATGGGATGATAGAAAAACTCACTGTTATCTACCATCTCATATTCAGGCAAAGAATCGCCCCTAACAGAATTATGTATCATTCCGACTTTTGGTTCACCGAATATTTCTATTTTGCCTATATTTAATGAAAACATACAATTTGATTGAAATTCTATAATGGATGAATGAAATAGTTTGAAATGAACTGGAGACGAAAATGAATTTCATGAACTGTAATTAGTTCGCTGTAAGACATCGAACGTTCGATCAGTTCAACAAGAAGAAAAGGAATCTATCAAACGTTTTGAATGTCAGAAAAAAGCATAAAACTGATTCATTGAAGAAATTCTAGCAAACTTGATTCATGGAATGAATTGTGATTAACAAAACTCAATAACAATTTTAAGTGAAAGAGAAAAAATTATCTTACCATAACTATAAATCTCAAATCTTTTGACGTTATAACCGTAAAATTTAAACGAAAATTTCGGTGTAACATTCTTAAAAGATGCAAACATAAGAATTAGTAGTTCCATTACAAAATGTAGTCAACTCACGTGATGGGTACTAAACTTTTTAAAACTGTCATTATCAACTGGATACGGCTGACCGCGACTTATTGTTCTTGAGTAGTAATAATGATGAGACTGTGTATGTGCATTACAATCTGACTGTATACTTACATATTTATATAAAACGTTTTCCGAAATAACATTTTCATATGTCGCTAATCCAGGATTTTCGCAGATATCCTGACAGTCGAAGAATTCGGAAAGCACGATGACGACCAAACAAACCGGTATCAACAGACTAGATAGAGAAGTATATCTAAAATGGTTGATATGAAGAAAACAATGTTATCTCGTTGAATCAGACCGAAATTCATATAGTACCTACAATAACTTCGTGTGTTCAGTCAACACTCACCTCATCTTTCCGTTCGAAATAGTATAACAATCTTACCAGAACTTGTTAGGTTTATATAGATTTTTCAAATGTATGTTTGTTTCTTTCTGATTTTCTATGATTCAAAGTGACCATTGCAAAGATTTAATTTCATAAAATCATCTCTTCATTGTTAACCAATCATTTCGGTAGGTGAACCCATTATTATCCAATATCTTTGTAGCTATCGAGGACATAGGCAGATATTTATCCACCATTGGTTAAAATTCCTGACCTCCATTGATGAAAATGCTTTTGCATATGATTGGCAATACTTTAAAATAAGTGATTGGTTTATTTGTAGTTCAAAATATATGCTCATGTGTTCACGAACAAACACTTTTTTGTGGCCCTTGGTTCTCGACTCCTTTTAGATTGTATGGATGTTTGTTATCGCCAATTCTCGTATATCATCGTCGACTTAAATCACGTTAGTCAATAACGGGATTTAGATAAGTCAAATAACGAGAATAGGATTTTGAATAGATATATTTTGTATGTAAAGTGAATGTAATAGAACAGAGCAAAATGACGCGCAGGGAAGATGGCGAGGAAGCCAACTCCCATTTTAGTCAAGCGTTACTCAATATTTATAGTCAGACAAAATAAAGCTACAGACATGTGATTAATAGAATAAGAAGGGGACTCACATATACGCTCATATAAAAACAGTCTAGATTGATAAGCGAATAAATAACAAGGTCAAAGTATGGCTCGAGTAGAATGAATAAAATGGGATGTCCGGAAGCTACAATAAGGTATATGGGCTTGGCATAATAACTGACACAACATAGCCCCCTCGTAGAAAATAGCACATTTAAAAAAATGTTTGATTTCAAAAATAATACTCAGGTGATATGAAGTTAACGTTAACAATAAGTAGCCAAAAAAAAGTACAACACTCGATAAAGTACAGTGTCACATGAGGGGTGAGTGTATTATATGAAAATGTTATACTTATGCAAAAGAATACATGAATATCGAAAAGACGCGGACAAAAATGGAAACGTTAGCATGAGAATATGAGCAAATTGATGAGCGTACAAAAAATTAACATGTACTAATGCTATGACTGTCTGAACAATAAAATAACACGTTTGTATGATTGATTCAAATTATCGTGAAAATAGTAATAAATTGTTTGTGGGTATGACAGGGAAATAAATTGTCAAAATGAGTACAGTAGAATATGACAGAAGTTGGTCTGTGATGCTGACGAAATAGTGAAATACGTTAAATATATGTTCTGTTGAGCCGCAGCAGAATAAAAAGCATCGACTAGCGACGAGTGAATTCGAATTTAAATGCGTAGTTCTCGTTCGTAGGATGATAATAGGCAAGTCGTGAAATAATAACTGCATCGACGGGTGATATTCGTTGCTGTACTGCAATTGATAATAATCATAAAATTTGAAGTCAGTGAACGTTGTCGTCTGCGTTATGACAGATGCACCGAGTTATCGTTGAATATGTATTAGTAGAACAACCAGAGGAACAGAATAGTGACTGAGTAGACGAGGTGCGTAGAGTCGTATTCCTTTTTGGTCATGAAGCCTAGAGTGGTTTGTGTGGTTTGAGGGAGATGCGCTCGATCTCGTTTGTTACAAAACCGTACCAAGGCATGACAAAAATACCAATACATATGGTTAGCGATTGCGACGTATGAGACTGACTTGGATGTGATGAACAAGAGTGTATCTTTGAGAGACTAGCTCTAAACTCTATGTTCTGATATACCGTGCGATGGGTATAGAATAGAATAGTAGTTGCAGTACTCGAATAGCGTTTTTGGTTGATAAATGATGCGGCATGCAGATATGCACGTGTAAGAATAGATAAAATGAACGTAATGGTTACTAATCAGCTAGTTAGAGGCATCCACAGACATAATAGGAGGCGATTTCGAAATGAAAAATGTACGTTGTGATAAAATAAAATAATGACCTCGACTAAGTGAATGAATGTAATATTAGATCAAAATGACATGAAAAATTGGAACGAACTCACTTAGAGCAGGAAAATTTCACGTTTTTGAATAGTAAAAATATCCCAATGAGTTCTCACAAAATGGAGTGGAATTTTCATAAAATGATAATTTGTTCGGTGAGTGATATGATTGCGAAAATGTCAATTTAGTGACAGCACGAACAAGATTAATAATTCCACATTCGGTCATGGTATTGATAATAATGTAATAATAAGCATATAATGATAATTTCAATCGTAATCGAACAAACCGACGAATGGATCAATGAGAATGGTTGACATGAGAACAAAGTATCGATAAGATAATACGACTTGAGCATGTCCATACCATGATGCACAGGCTTTGCTGATTGCATCGGATCGGATATTGCGCTGGCTTCGCTGAATTTGTCCGTCGAAGGTATAGAGTGCAGAAGTTTCTTTCAGCGGCGTAGCTTGCTGCGTTGCGTTCGTCGTCGGCGTGTAATAATCTGTTAATGAGCTATCAATGACGCATTAATTTGACTTGATTGGTTAAGATCAAAGTGGCACAAACTGATTCCATTGAATGTCAAAAAGGCACTAACATTTGAACTTTATTTCGATTGAGAATATTATTTGATAAATATTAGACTATTATTGAAAACCTGGAGGCACTGAACAACTGTTTCGTCTTAGTGAGAAACTTTTCGGCAGTGAGCATCCACAATCCCGCACGCGGAATTCAAACACAGGATCTTTGGTCTAGCGCGCCAATGCTTACCTTCTAGACCACTTATTTGGCATTCAATAGTGTCGGTGACTAATTTCAACAAATCCACGAGGATGTGCAACCACCCACCAATGTCTGAGATAGATACCTGTCTCTGCCTGAAAGGAATAGCTCGACTGGTCACAGTTGCTCACAAGAACTCCGAGAATCCCCAGAAGTAGCTAGTTAACAGTGAGCACATGATAATCATCAAAGTAGGGTTGTTAGGATTGATAAGTCTTTCAAAGATATCAGAATCGATGTGTGTTAGATAATGGTCCAGTGCTCTACGTTTCCAATGATAGGCTAATATTCATCGACCCATGATTTCAATCGATAGCTTAACAACACCATACTGCGAATATGGTTGCATATATTGATGATTCCAGAAGAAAACGACCATTAAACTCACTTCAATTTAGATAGTAAATGGTTACAGTGTTTATTCATAGCTGAAACAAGACTAACTATGAATTGACTGCCAAATTATTTGTTTTCAATTAACTTGCTTTTCACAAAAGCAGGAATGTTTTGTAAAATGAGAATTCCATTCATCTCTGTTCTGTGTGAGTAGATGACTGTCAGTCACATAAACACATAATTAGAAAGCGGTATTCATTATTCTAACAAAGTTTCATATCACGCCCACGACACAATAGACAATACCATATTATTTGAATAATTAAATATAATGAGGTGATAGATGAAGAGAAAGTATAATCATTGAAATTTCTACAAACAACTGAGGTCATCAGAAATATTCCGATGCTTTGCATTACTATTTCAGTGTTCTTTTTAAAGAATATTTCTTGTGAGACAACGCATATTAGATAAGTAGAATTGAAGTAGATGCGATGATCATGTGCAATATTCAACTAAGTATTCTTGACTGAATCGTCAAGTGACAGTCTCTCACCCGATGAGATTTAGGAGGACGTTAGAAGTACATGATGTGATCAAGCCAAGTAAAGACTGTTCATCGAGAATAATGTGTTCCTGTCGACCGATGTTATCTTCCAAATCCGTCCAACCATATCTTTTACTTACCAAACATATTGTGGTGTCAAATGAAATAGAGAAGTGAAACATGATTGTCTGCTTGATCAAAATAGAGGAGACGAAATACAAACAATTAAAACAACAATAATCAATGATGAGGAGTTACATACAAGATCAAAACAGCCATCCCGTACTCCCATGATTCTAGCGGTGTTCTGACTAAAATCACTTTGTGATTGAAAGCTATGAAGATGCCATTATCTTCCCAAAACACTCGTGGTGGAATAACTTCGGGATAATATCTTAACTGCATATCGTGTGCTACGTATGCCCTAAATTATTTAGTGTTCTCATTTGCCTTATACCGTTCTCAGTCTGCACATTCAACTTTCTCAATCCGCATGACTTTCTTAACACAATTACCTTGATGACACCCCGTCTTGTTGCACATTATCTTCACATTGCGTTTTCTTTATTAATAATTATATTACAACTAATATCATTGGTATTGGCACTCGAACAATAATAATAATAATAATAACAATTTTTATCTTTATTACTGTTATCACAATTATTATTAACTCCATTGATCAAATTATATTCTCCTGACATTCATTTCTCGCGTATCATTCGTTTGATTATTACATTGATTACAATTAGGCACCTCACACCAAATCACTTCAATCTTCTGAGAATAACCAATCCAGCTTACAGATGACATATTTTTGAGGCATTTATCACACAACTGATACACAGAGTCGTCACGATTTAACACAACATTGTCTAATTCACTTGAATGCTCAATTTTAGCCCTCCTTACACTATGTTTGTGAACTTGTAACTGTAGAGTGTGATGACGAAGTTATCGAAAACACTTTCCACTACAATATTCTTTATTTCTTCCTATTTAACACAGGGATTTCTGGTTAGGTTAGCTTGTATAAAAGCAAGCTCACAGAAAACAGTTTGAAATTGATGAATTGGAATTGTTACACCTGGAAGTGACACTGGCATAACTTTACACAAAGAAGGAGAGGAATACTGTTGGTAGGTACAAGGTGTGTTATTATTATTACAAGCTTTATTCAATATTATATTTTTGGTACAATATAGAATTCTCAGCATGAGGTATTTCAACAAGTTTACGTTTTTTACATCTTGGTCGATCCTGACGATAAATAGTGAGTGATCGCCAGTTGGGTGTTAGCAGTCCAGTAAATGAACATCTGAATAATGTATATTCTTTTCTCTACATATTGCCAGCGACCACACTGTCTCTTATTGGGCTCTTTGTTACTTTGACACGTTTTCTTATTCACGTATCTTTTGTTTGATAACTTGAAATGACGTCTCCCTAATTTTTTTCACAGTAAGTTGT